TAGAATTAGTGTCACACCACATTCACATGATTGTTGCTTTCCTCTTTTTCCTGTCATTGCGATTAAAATTTTGAATTTATGCATACTGTGACTAAGTAAGGAATGTAAGAATCTGACTACTACACTTTTCTTATCTTGCCAAAAGTAGAATTTAGAATTCCTTTCCTGAATGCAGGTACACGCAGTCACCAACTGACTCAACTGAGGAACCATCCTTTGAGGAAAGGCTGAGGACACCTGGATTGTCTTCTCAAGAGAAAAAGAGGTTAAGACAACTTCATCATCCCCCACAGCTCCCTGAAGATAAGAAATCATAGAATGGCCTGGGTTGAAAAGGACAACAATACTCATCTGGTTTCAACCCCCTGCTATGTGCAGGGTCGCCAACCAGCAGACCAGGCTGCCCAGAGCCACATCCAGCCTGGCCTTGAATGCTTCCAGGGATGGGGCATCCACAACCTCCTTGGGCAACCTGTTCCAGTGCCTCACCACCCTCTGGGTGAAAAACTTCCTCCTAATATCTAACCTAAACCTCCCCTGTCTCAGTTTAAGACAAGAAGGTGCCTATAACTTCTTCCCATTAACCAATGATGGACACACAGAAACAGATCTCTCCTATGCCAATGGAGTCAGACTGGACATTGGCAAGAACATATCCACTGTGGGGGTGGTCAGACACTGGAACAGGTTTCCTAATGAGGTGGCTGAAACCCTATGCTTGTTGGCATTCAAGAGCCATTTGGATAATGTCCTTAAAACACAGCTAAATTTTGGTTAGCTCTTGAACTGGTCAGGCATCTAGACTCAATGACCTTTGAAGGTCCCTTCCCACTGGAGTATTCTAGCCCATTTTAACTTGAAGTCTCCAAAATGTACTGTCCACATGGTGTAAGATCTGAGACCTCAGTGCAATCTAGACCAGAATTACTCCAGTGAGTGTGGCATTGAATAACCAACATGTCATCAACTTTGTATTTTTTTTCTGATATGAAATTCAGAAACTACTGACTCAATATGTAAATTCTCTGAGAATCACATTAGCTCTTTTAAACAATTTCTGCAAAATTCAAGGGAACAGACTAAAGGACAGAGCTTCATTTTTTGTGTGTGTGGGTTTTGTTTGTTTTTTTACTCTGATACACTTCTTTCTTGCCATAAAATTTCAGACCATATTTCTAAGGCAACGTGAACATATTTATACTTGAAAATATGCTAAGACTAACACTTCTAGTGAAATTGTATCAAATGCAAGTCAAAATGCAAGTCACACACCTTCTTGAACTCTGAAGGCTGTGGGTAGGAGGCAGGCATTTGTACCCTTAGTCTGGACTGACACAGTAGCAATGGACTTGCTTCTGTATGTAGTAATTCAGAAATCTTACTCAAGTCTTGATACGGCTTTTGCTTCCCAAACTTGTAAGTGCTGCTATCCTAGCTATTGAGTCCCAAGCAGTACTGCTGAGCTGTGAAAGTATTGCTGCAGTCTCATCCAAGGAACAGTCATTTGACACCAGGAATTCAGTTTCCATAAAGACTACAGTAGAAAAGCAGTAATGGCCAGGAAGAAGTTAGCTACCCCAAGAATGGATTTCAGGACAGGCATTCACAAGGTAGAACGCAAGCACCAGCAAGTGAACACTAGCATTAGCTTTCCTTTCAAAAAAAGAAGTCATATTCGCATGAGAACAGATTCTCCCTCTATACATAAGCAGTCCCTGAATGAAAGCATTATTAGTCTAATGAATGTAATAAAATCATCCAAATAAAAAGAGAAGAAGTTCCAAAACCATGCTTTCATTTTCTGTCTGTTTTTACTAATCTCTTCCTACAATGCTTTTTGGCAGTGTTTCCAGTAATACCCCAACTACTCAATATTTTAGTCTGTGCTTTTGGGAGAATTGCCTGTAGAAAGTTTACTCTTAAACTGTAATATTTACCCTCTTCTAATTCTTGTTCAAGCATAAACCTAGCCTAAATCTGGTTCTGATTTTAAAATATGCCCAGCAGCCCTACAACATGTACAGAATTGTTTACTATTCACAGCTTCAGACAAAAGAAAGCAGTTCACAATGACCTTTCAATTTCCTTGGCTTGCAGTTTGCTGTTACCACATACTTTATTTATGGTAGATCTGAAATAAATACTGCAGGATCAGCCATCTTTTGGTGCTGCACAAGAAAAGGAAAGCTATTAAATATTTACCATAAATCTCTCCTAGCTTTACAACTGATTCTTCCCATTTCACTACTAAAAAGTATTATTTAGCTTTTGATTTGCCAGCAAAAAGCAGTCAATTGTGGCTGCCTGAATGCAAACTGTATTCCAACACTGGCTTGCCCTGAAAGGGGGGGACATTGTGTCAATGCATATCAGGCCTGCACCTTCCCTGCTCCTCTGCAGGAACTCGTAGTGACACCAAAGCAGGCATCTTGGAGCATCACAGGAATGCCTATGCCAGCAGAATGAGGCATGCTCATATTACAGCATTTTCCAAAACTTAGTCAGTACATTTGGTGAATCCTTTCCAAGGAGGCTGATCAGATTCCTCGAGTTAAGATCAAATGAATACTGTGGATGCTCCAGTGAAGTGTGTTAACAAATAATACTGTACTCATGAACTGTATTTGAATTTTAAAAAGAAACCTATTTTCATCAATTAAAAAATAAATTTTGCATGCATTTCATTTTTTTTTACCTGTGAACTGAATGCAGCAGAACAATAAGCAGATGGCCCAGTTCCTGTGCGATAGCCAGCCAGTTGAAGATGAACTTTAACTGGCCTGGGACTAAAATGCCTGAGGGCAGCTGTGCAGCTCAAGTGACCGATCAGAAACAGATACTGTAAAATGACTGAGAACTAATCTCCAGTAAGGCACAAAAAGATTAGAAGCAGTTTCTTTTTCCACAGCAGTTCATTAAAGAGTATGATCACAGCCTTCCACAGCATTGTCCAGCAGCACGGGAAGTACATAGCAAGTTCTGGAGATCTAAGCAGCCAGAAATTGACAATGAGCATTTGGAAAAAGCAGTATGCCACTGGAAAGCTGAATTCTGACTGCCTGATCAAACCTCTGGCACAGCTGTCAAGTTCTCTATCCAAGGAATTCCGTGACATTGAAAAAGTTTTGTGAAGGTTCGGTGAAATCATAGCCTGATAAGAGGCAAATTTAACAGCGAGTTTAGGAAAGGGTGTGATCAGAAAAGATCAGAAAACACTTGACAACTACGGCTTCCTTAATCCATAATGAGATACTTGCATGACAAACGCAGGCCAGCACTCCACACAAAACACTCACTGAAGAGCTATGTTAGTGTACATTGAGAAGGGCAAACTGATGGTGCTTGAAGAAAAACTAAGTTTGTATAGCCAGAGAAGTGAAGACTCTTTGTTTAGAGTAGGACAGGACTAAAGAGCATTCTTAATGCTTCCCTTCTACTACATTTGATGTCTTGCAATTTGATATCCTGCACAAGTGCTGACACTATGTACATTTTGCTCGATAACCAAACAAAAACCACCAGTTCTTCACCCTGAAAAAGAAACTCCAAGGGGAATTTAAGTATGAACATAAAAGTGAGTAGCAGCAAACACTATCTGAACTGTCAGGTTATAAAAAACACTCATGAAACCTTCATGGTCAGGATCAATAAGAGGAAAGGCCATTGCTCTTGAGAGCCCATAGCAGTTAGATAAACATAAAGCTTTTGGTCTTAGAATACTTATGTCTAGATTTCATGTTCCATTGTTTTTCCCTTGGCATTACAGACTAAACAAACAAGTTCACTTTGATTCCAGAGCTGTAACAACAAAAATCAAGCCACAGGTCCTCCAGTAAGGAATTCTAGGATCTTGTAAAGATTCTTTTAGAGCCATGTGACTACTAGACATTGATATCTAAGATCACTGAAATTTACGGCTTCAGTTTTCCTATCACTACAGCCAATTACTAACACACATATATCTTTTAAATTTGAAAGTATTCCATGTTTTCAGACTTTAATACGTATCAGATAATTGAGTGTTCCCATCTCAACAATCTGCAGAGAAAGTAGATTTTTTTTGTCCACTCCATCACGAGTGACAGACCCAATATTTTGTGTTAACTGGTCTTTCTCTCACCAATGCAAAATTTTGTGAAATTGTTTTTGCTGAGAGATCTTATCTAAATGTGAAACATAAGAATCCAATAGGAAAGCAAACAGAAGGTCTGCAATAAATTATCAGAAATTATCTTCTTCAACCTGTAAGTAACTCAAAACGATTTAGAGCATTTTTCAAAAGATGCCATATGAATCTCTTTATCACTGCTTTTCGTTAAATTAGACCAAAAATGCTGGAGAAGGTCACAGAATGAGGATTCAACTGCAAGTATCCAGGATAATGCCCTATCTTTTTTAAAATACTTTGTTTCAGTAACTTCAAATGACCACTTTTAACTGACTTCTATCACATTTCTGTGAGAAAGTCTCCCCTTCTTGCATTCAAATGTTTTTCTTTCCTGCACTGAAGCTACACCTTTTTTACCCTATCAAATGCAGAGGGGTCACTCAGGTAACTCAGTGTGAACTTAGAGGTGCCAAACCATTAATAAAAATTCTCACTCTGGGAATGACAGATTCAATCCATGGGATCAGAATACTTACGATAGTTGTTTCTGGAACAGTCATTCATATATTAACCAAAAGTGTGTGTGTTCGCATAGGACTAAAGAAACATCACTGTTGGACTTTTATCAGGAGCCTGAATGAACAAGGAATTACACCTGTATTCAGTGGGCTAAATACAACACAGATTCATATGTCATACAAGCCATTGTGATATCTATAAAAATCCATGCTACTTGCTACAAAATCACCACAGATTTTAGCTGTTCACCTCATATCTATACATTGGACACTTCAAATAAAACTAACAGGTAAAGAAGAAACACAGAGCCCTCAGTCATGGGTTTCATAGGACATCCTTGGGAACACAAAGATTTTAACTGATGTCAACATACTTCTGAAGAGTGAGGCTCAGGTTGTAACTTGCTGACTTGATCTTGTTCTGAGCCTCTAAGTGAGTCATGCTGTCAGTATTGACTCCATCAATGGCTACCACAAGGTCCCCTTGATTCATCTGTGACTGTGCTGCCTTGCTGCCAGGAGTGATCTGTACAGGGAAAGGAAAAGAAAAAACTTCTTAAGTCATTCTGTGCATACATTACTTCTGCAGAACTGTCCAGAATTGTAACACAATTTTCCTCAATTATTGCTATTGTCGTATTCATTCGTGTACAGGTAGAACAACAAAACTTATGGAAATTAAACAAATACACTTAACTTACATTTCTGTAAAGGTCAAGAGTATTACCTACTTGTCATTATTTGCATTTTAAGGGGATGATTATCATAATTCACTTTGGGGTGCTGTATAGAGACATTACTCAGAACTGGAAAACTAAGAAGCCAATAACCGTTGCATGACTTCACTGTATTTTTCCTCCTAATAGTAATTTTTCCCAAACTAACTCATTACACTAATCAGACAGAAACGGAATATGTGTGAAGGACCTTGGACATGTTTTGTTTCCCTATAGTGATCTTTATAGGAAAGTATTCTGGTTAACTTTAACCCACATAAAACTACAGCTCCGTTACCAAGACACCACTACTTATCCAAGATAACCTCCATCAGCCTGTTGCACATAACAATCCAAAAATATAAGACAAGCATTTTTAGAAATAAGTAACTAGAATACTCCAACTGCAAATCCAACTACTGTAACAACAGTTCAGAATTTCTGATTCCTCACTACATAATCACACTGTGCTAGCTCCAGGTGCCCAGTGGAATGCAGCATCTTCAAGCAAGCAGTATTCTCACCCATATTTAACATAGCCCTCTCAGGTGCATCTGGGTGCAATCAATACACTACAGTTATAGCAGTCAGAAAAATCAACACAGTGAAATGGTGACTTAAGAGGTGTAATGACAGAGGGACTAGCACAATGGAAAGGTGTTACAAAGGAAAAGTGCTCACCCATATCCAAAGAGCTAGGCTCACAAGAGAAACTCCACAGGGGAGAGATCTGCAACCAGAGATCCTTCCCCAGTGGCAGTCAGCCCTTAAATGAAGTCTAAAAGAGGTGCAGCCAGGCTCCACCCCTTCCAGTCCCACAGCTGCATTGCCTTCACCTGTGCTCCCAGGGCTGACCAGGTCCTTTCCCCAGGTGCTCAATCAGTGATTCAGGCCTTGACTCAACAGTTACCATCCAAAAGCCATCGATGAAATTTCACTCCATTATTGAACTCCAACTAGAGAAGAGCCTTCAGATACCTTCAGCCAGTTTTCAATGAGCACATCAGATTTTTCCTTTCTTCTCTGCACTCAGTATTTATGAGGTACAGATATAAGCTACAGATCTTTGCTAATGCTTTTAAGATACCCACTTCATTAATTTCCTCACTGAAAAAATCACCACCACACCAAGGGTAATACCAAGGAAACCACACCTGCAGTTGTTGACTCTTGTTCCTTCAGTATAGTAAGCATAAACCATGTCTGACTGCAAGGTGAAATTCCTATGTGCAACATTCCTATGTCCATTTTCCAGGGTGAAACACATTGACTTCTCTCAGTTTCTGATTCTTACGTCTTCGAGTTCAAAATTTAGATGTTATGAAATAAAATATAAATAAGCATACAGAAGTTAACTACAACTGACATAGAATTAGATACAAATTTTGAGGGAAGAGATAATCATACCAGTTTCACTTACTCTAGTGGGATATTTTCTGCCAAACGTGTTTTAAGAAAACACTACCAAAATGATAAGATGTGTTGATCAGGAAAGCCTATAAAACAAAAATTCCTGTTCAAATTTGAATTTTAACTATAGGCATTGCAACAGCCTGCCTGAGGCTCAGAGCTACAGAAGAGTTACAGAAAAAATGTGATGAATATCACGATCATGGCTTATAAACCAGGGTTCCTTTATTTTAAAATGAAAGGAATTCGTAACCACATCTTCAACTAATTTTAACAGTAGTAACCAACTGTGCTGGATTCATTCATACAGTTCTACTGTTCTGGCTCCCATTTCAGGAGCCAGCACAGCATTGATGTCACCCTCTAAAATTCAGATTGTTCCAGTTTCACAGGCAGATGATAATCTATGCAAGACTTGCAAGTATGGATCCAGTTCAATATATCATTCAGAATCATACCAGGAGATAATTACTACTTCCCCCATTCTTCCCAGTGGCTATGAAAGATGCTATGTAGATTACTTGTTTCCCTGTAACTTTACATGTTAAACTCTAAGAGTCTAATGTGTATGAAATATCCATATCCAAATACAGAGTTATACCTATTTTAGCTAGAAGGTAACAGACTACTCTGGGAAGCTTTCAAGTGAATCCAGAGTGGGCAGTTACAGAGGACACTGAGAACCTTCAGGAGTTGCTGGGGACAAAATACTAGCACACACGGAGATAAAGGAGAGCCAGATCTAAAGTGCCAAAGCACTTTCAAGACTATCTTGTTCCCATTTTTAAAGATCCAACAGAAAGGAATGGAATGCAAAGTGTTTATCTGTTGGCATGCTTTCTTAATCTGAAAATTCAGCTCTGATCAACCATTTATTTATTAAGTGGTTGCAGACAGATCAATGTTTTTGTGAAATCTTCAGGACTTATTTTCTATTTAAAATGTTCTTTTATGATATTTTTTAAATGAAGCATTGATGTTAATTAAACCTCAGGATTAGAGCAAAAATCCAGATCTATTTGCCCACACCATAAATTCTACTTTACTGTCATCCCTGCTTTTCCTCTAATAGAGCATTACAAAATTAATAAATGAATATATAAATACTGTCCAGTTAAAATACAGTTTTCATTTTGTCCACTAACGCTTTTGTCTTAAAATGTAAGTAGGTAAAACCCAGACAGAGTTATTTCAGAAAAAAATTGTAAGTCTTAACTCATTTGCTCTAGATTATGGCACAGCTTTCAGCTGCCAGGTGTTGCAAGGGTCACAGACTATTCGCCCCAGACTCAAGGTATAATTATAATATGTCAGTTGATTAGAAAAAAAGTAAACTAATTTAAAAAAAAATAAAAAAATTAAAAAAAAAAAGAAACCAGGATACCAGTGACAGTAAGACCTAATTTTAATTGCATTTCTTTAGCACCCCAAGCTCAAGAACAGGCTGCAAGTTGGAAAGTAAAGTATATTTATCATCTCAGAAAAGCACAGAAACACTTGCTCAAGCTCTCAGAAGTTTCCAACAAGATAGACATCTGACTTCCAATATGCCCAGCTTAAAACCTGTGGGCAGGCTAGTGGTATCACACTGTAAGGAGAGCTGCGTACTGGGTAGATATATAGCACAACAGTGACAGCTGTGCCCAAAAAAATAAGTCTGCACTGGGTTCAGAGCAAGGACCACCTAGCAGGAGCTCTGGGAAGTGGAATACAAAGTGCAGCTGCTGCACCACCTTAAGAACAAGATGTGCTCCCTTGCAGGCTCCTCAGCTCCACTCCAAAATGGGAGAGATGGGATCAGGCAGCATTTCAATGGCTGAGTGTTAAAATATTATCAAGAATGCTTGTATAAACAGATAGATGGACATAGCTTCCCTACCGCAAGGAATTCCTAACTTACTGACAGACAAAAATACATACAGAGGCCTACACAAGTGAGAAGGTGCTAATACAGCATCTTGCAGAATTAGTCAGGGCCTCTTCTTTTCCTAGGACTTCAGCTATGCCTGCCCTCTTCCTGACCCCAGCCCTCAAATCAACACATTACACCTTTGCATTTAAGAAAATATCTCACTAGCACTATAAATATGCTAAAGCACTGGAAATGAACACCCTCTTCACCTCTGGATACATACAAAAGAAGAAAATAGCATGAGGAAATGTTCAGTTCCACAGTTCAGCTGAAATTCAGAGACAGGACACAAGCTATCAGAGTAACTGTAGCGCTTTTTTTTTTTTTTTTTAAACAAGAAAAGGAATGGGCAGACACTAAGAATCACTAGAAAATAAAGTCTGCAGAAAGCAGCATTTAAAGTCTCCCTCATTTTACCACTGTTTTATATAGATGTTTCCAGCAAACCTTCACAGGCTTTTTAAGCACTGAGGCTCACAATGCCTGAGAGTGGCAGGAGAACCACCTCATTCTACATATAAAAGCATGACCCACTGGAATGAGGAAACATTGAAATCCCAGTGTGGAGCAGTTAATAGCGAAGTGATGAATACCCAAATGGATCCAACTAGTTATCTCCAGACTGTATGCATCAGTTCCTCTCTTATCTACACTGTGAAAAAGTCAATTGAGGAATTCTGTGTTTTGTTTCTTAAATGAGTAGGCTCCCTCAGCTGCTCCCCATAAATACTCCAAACCCCCCACCAGCTTCATTGCCCTTCTCTGAACAAGCTCCAAGGACTCAATGTCTTTCTTGTAGTGACAGGTCCAGAACTGAACACAGTACTCAAGGTGTGGCCTCACTAGGGCTAAGTAGAGGATCGCTTCCCTGTTCCTGCTGGCAACACTATTTCTCATACAAGCCAGGAAGCCATTGGCCTTGTCAGCCACCTGAACACACTGCTGGCTCCTACCCCCAGGCAGACTGACACTCCCTGCCAACTTGATGTCATCTGTAAACTTATTGAGGGTGCACTCAATGCCTTCATCCAGATCATCAATAAACATACTGAACAAGACAGACCCCAATACCGATGCCTGGGTAACACCACTTGTGACCAATCACCAGCTGGATTTAACTCCATTTACCATCACTCTTTTGGCTCAGTCATCCAGCCAGTTCTTTACCCAGCAAGGAGTGCATCTCTGCAAGCCACAGGCTGCCAGCTTCTCCAAGAGAATAGTGTGGGAGACAGTGTCAAAAGCTTTGCTCAAGTCTAGATGACCTTTAAAGGTCCCTTCCTACTCTAAAGATTCTATGGTATCGCAAATCAAGCCTAGAGAAAATTTACTTTTTGCAGCTACCATCTTCCTAAATAAAATTTCTTACTGCTTTCCAAAACAGTACTAGGCTTTTTAATAAAAGTAGTTTTTTTTATTATTTGTTTTTAATAGGAGAACAAAACACACTTTAAATGAATGCTCAGGGGATCTGCAAAACGTGCCATT